ATTGCTTGAAACTTTTTTTAAACCAAACATTTAAACATTCACTTGGTTATACAAATATTGAATGAATCATACAAAGTCATATCAGTCGACCTATATATACACAACACAATTTGAATCACTTATGTTGATTCAAATTGTGTATATATAGGTTCATTTATCTATTCCACAGAAATGTAATTTAGAATTATCAGATTAATATTTTAAAAACATACGTGTTCACAAATTCGATACCCAGTGTCATGTTTCTTCAATACATATGTTATCGGCAAGTCTGAAACATCAGCATTCTAATGAATACCTAGGCATTTTATAGAACGCCTGGCGTTTTTAGACAAAGTGCGAAATATGAGAATTATTATATATTTTCCCTAGGTACTGTATATAATACCTAAGCTATAGAATGACAAATACTATTTAGGCAAAGTATGAAAAAAGCTCATGATAAGGCTAATTATGATGATTAGATCATAATAAGACTATCACTTCTCTCGCCTTCTTAGCGTGCCTTCGTGGTACAGTGGTTCGTATTCGAGAGGTCCGTGGTTCAATTCCCGAAGAAGGCGTTGCTCATTTTTTTATCTCTCCTGCTTCGAAACTACCTAATGTCTCTGCAAGTGTACAAAAAGCAAATTTTTTATCTTTCTTATTAAGGGGACTCATACACTTTAAAACCCATAAGATGTTCGAATAGGTGACTGTTGCAAGAATTGGGATAACTTATTTATTTTACAAGCAATTACTGCCAACATTTTACAGCTGACTACATAATATAGCTGCTTTCTGAAATAGTAATCAGAAAGTTTGTGTTGCCACAAATATTTTTATAATTTAATCCGCTTTGTGACAACAATTTTCGTCATGTTTCCAACTTTCGCGCACAGTTTAAAACATTCTGTTTCATAATTTAATTCCATATTTAATATATAGCTTTTATAACATTTGGAAACTACTGTGAACCTGAAATTCTAAAAATTTCATGTTAAATTTTTATTTTATTTTGAGTTGAGTTTATAAAATGTATTTTATTAAAAATATTTTTAATGTTTTCGCCCATAAAATTTTTCAATATTAAAATATTCATCAGATTGTTGGTTCAGTTAGAAAATAGTGCCCATATACAGAATTCCATCAAATTTCAAGTATGTACCACTAGCCATTTTTAAAATATCATGCGCGCAAGGTGTAAACACGGCGAAATGTTTTGTCACAAAGAGGATTAAACTACAAAAATATTTGTGGCAACACAAACTTTCTGTTTACTAGTTTCCAAAGCAGCTATATTATGCAGTCAGCTGTAAAAAGTTGGAAGTAATTGCTTTTAAAATAAATAAAATGTCCCAATTCTTGCAACAGTCATATATTCGAAGATCATGAGTGGTTTAAGGTGTATGAGTCCCCTTAAAGAAAGCAATGTATAAAAATGTGTAGAATTATGTATAATTGTATAGAATATATGGATTATGTATAAATATATGAAATATATAAATATATATAAATATTCGAAACAAATCAGAGACGTATTTTATGCTTTGTTGGTTTGTCATTTGGAAATGTATAAAATGTATAATGTATGATTTCATGAATTTCCGTTATTTGGAAATGTATGAGGCCTACCAATGGCCAAGCGATAAAATCTCTTAACACTATTTCCGACCTGGGCTTGATTCCAGGCGAACAGGATAGCTGCATGGGCGCTTTCTTGGTTTTCCCCATGCGTAACGTGTCAGCTTTCATACATTGCTGGTAATGCATTGCAGGTAACGCATTCACACATTTCCCGTGCTGAGGCAAGTATATATATAAAATTTTTCCAAGATTATAAAGGCTTTGAGAAGCCTTAAATCGTTGCCATTCTGCTTCCGTATCTCGTGACGAGTTTTTAATAAAATGCAATGTTTTTAATGAAGTACAAAGGTCTAAAAGGTTCATGCATTTTTAATCAGCATCCACAGTTCACATTCAGAAGATCATATGGTATATCATTGTTGCAGAGGTAAGGGTCCTGAACAAAAACCTATACTTTGAGAAGAAGACGATGGTCCAAAAAAGGGTTGGGAAACTATGCTCCAGACTTCTAACTAAATTTCTGTTTTTATAAATAACTACAAACTTAGTTAATGATCTTGAATAAATGCCGTATTTTTCAGATTCGAAGACGTGTTTTATTGTTGAAAAAAGGCAATTCGAAATTTGGAAGAGTAATTTGATCCGAAGATGGGATATGTTATAAAGCTTGCGAAGATATTAAAAATAGGATCAGTTTAGGGGTGTAATTTAAAATCAGCCAAGACTATTCAAAAATAAATTGACATTGAGTCATCTGCCATTCCTGGAAGCCATCAAGATCATTTGCAGCACTTAAATGTATCAATTAATAAATCGTAGAAAGTTGTATACTATACTCTCAAGTTTTTTTCCATTCTTATTTATTTATTTTTTTTTTGGGGGGGGCGTCATGCATCCCTTTGACCACTGTTAGAAGTTCATTCCTCCTTCTTTTCCAAAACTTAAAAATACATATATGTTTATTCAGATTTAGATTATTTTTTAGTGTGTTTTATGAACAGAATATCGAAATGCATAGAAAATGTTTTAAATACTAAAATTTAAATATAAGCAATTTTTATATTCATAAACTAAAACTAAAGACTGAAAAGCTGAGTAATAGATTTTTCTTGAAATTATGAAATTCTCCCCCAAGAGGAAATTTCCTCCTGGTTGAGAACCCCTGGTAATATACGGAAGAAGCAAATGAAAAACCAAACCCAAGTTTGAAAGCAAACGACGAAGGTTAGAGGTAGGGTTATATCTCATGTAAGAAAAAGGAATTCATATCAAGTGATCCAGTGACTGTTCGAGAATTTTCAGTCCATGGAGATCATAGTTGCTGTTAGGAATCATATACCACATCACAATTTTTGCGTCAGGTAATCTTCAACATAGGAAGGTTTCTCAGCAAGCTGGTTTCTGCATACTCTATACCTCAAAATTACCTAGAATTAAATCTTTCTGTCTCTCCATCATAATGCATTTGTAAAATAATTATCGTGAATCGAGGAGCACTCAGATACATTTTCAATGATAATGCAACTATATCAGAGTGAAGAGAAAATAGCTTTGAAGGAATTAAATGATAATTCGATAGATTTTTTATGGGTTTTTTTTCTGTTTACTGGCATACGATTTTTCTTTCCTCTCCATCCTTCAATGGTATGGAGAAAAGTATAATTAAATATGTAAAGTTTCTTCTTGAAAGAATTAAAGGAGAGATAATACTTGCACTTCAAGAGGTGGTTATTTTACCATTCGGGAAAAAGTGCATGGGAATTCTAGGCCTCTTCCTTTACTTTGAGGTATCAGTTTCAGGTGGATTAACCCCTTCTCACTGTAAGATAAACTATTACAAGTGATCCCAAGTATGATTATATCCTTCGCCAAGACCTTGCTCTGATAGTCTCTGAAGCAAGAAGAGGTTTGAGGTTTGTGATATCACTCTGTTAAAGGGAAACATTTTCCTAGCTACTGCAGTTAGGACGAATTGTAAAGTTATGTCCAGGACTGTTCATTCCTTGTTTTAATGTTTGGTGAACGATTAATCCTCCTGTTTAGATTTCAAGAATGCAGTTATTAAGGATAGGAGTGATGATTGTCAATATTAAGCTCTTGCATAGTATTGATAATAACCTGAATTTCAACAGCAAGTTTCTTAGAAACACCAAGTATCTGTAGCCATTGTAACGAAAAAAGAGAATTATTACATTTTAAAACACTCATTGATCTCAAACCAATACAACAATTTTGAATGTCGTATAGGAACTGTGCTTTCATCTGTCACAGCAAGGAACTACAAGATTATTGAAAGGACTTATTATCGGCGTTAGAAATGGCGATGTCACAGTGGCTGTCTGTTGTCCTATAAGCTACTACTGGCTTCTGTATTGGCTCGCACTGTATTGCTGATCTCCTTTTATTTTACTTTACATTATGTTTTGATTATAAACTTTCGTTTAACTTATAATGTTACACTCTCTGGGATTATGATAGGTTCTACAACGATCAAACAACGATCAAACATGTTAAATTTTTATGTCCTGTGAATGCCAAAGCATGTAGAACAGAAATGAATTTGAAGGACGGGTCATTTAAATAATTGCATCTGCATTGCGAACTGAGCTGGAAGATTTTTCTGCCTTTTTGTAGAATAGAAGAGTCGGATTTAGACTCTATAAGGCCCTAAGCTATCTGAGATATGGGGCCGTTTATAAGTCTGTTATACTATATTTTAATACAATATTTTCATTTTTGGGGAGCCCCTGAGATAGTGGAGGCTCTAAGCTATAGCTTGTACAGCTTATACGTGATACTGTTCGTTTTAGAACTGTAACTTATGAAATGGTTGGGCAAAAATATGGAAACGCCTAAATGAAAATTTGCTGCTTCAGCTAATACGGTGTAAGACAACCGTTGGCATTCAAAACAGCTTGCAGTCTTTTCGGATTGGATAAACAGAGGTCACGTATGCTTTTCAAGGGAATCGTGTAATATTCTTCCTGTAAAACATTAGCAAGTTCTGTTAACGACAATGGCAGTGGAAGCGTTATGAATGTTAAACTAGAAAAGGTTTAACCTGGCTTGAAGAAAAATTCTTTCCATTAAAATTGTTCTGGCTAATATGAAGTTTGTTTATACTTGTTAAAAGTTTTGCACAGATATGCTTGCCTATATAAATCTAGAGCGCTATTTCTCATGATGCATATTGGTAGGCAGTTGATTTTAAGAATCATTAGAAGTTCGTATAAATACATATAATTTTGCGCGTTCTTATGAGAGAGTGCTATAATTGTTTGAAAGTAAAATGAGAAGTTTATAAAAAAACTTGTAATTTGAAATATACAATTTTCACATTATAATTTCAATGAGGATTTCATGTTTCTTCGTTATCGATTTATCGCCCCATTATTTCTAGTTAAATAAAATAAAAAAAATACTGAACAGTGCAATAGAAATAAAAAGACATTTTTATTGGCTACTGAAACTTTTACATAACCGATTTTAAAAAGTTACAGACGTGTAATTTAAAACCCAAAATACATCTTTATCTAGGTTAAAATAATTTCCTGAACATCAACAGCATGCTCATGAGAAACATAACATTTAGAAGTTTAACAGAAGGTATAAAATAACTGAATATGGCAAAAAAACTGGCGAGTTTGAAAACGCCTTCAAGGACACCTTCGTAAATGAACAACATCTAATTGTTGTTTTAATTAGGAATAAATGCAAATAAACCACCAGGTCGTGAATCGTTCGATTCTGACTCGTTCGAAGATTCTGATGTTTCACCTGCAAGTTCAGGAGCTTCAGTACTTAGAGCGAAAAAATTGGCTGCTACTGGGTTTCCAAGACCATATTTCTTTGCGAATTTCTTCGTATTAAATCGTAGTCTCTGAGAAGGATCCATTTCTTTTTTCACCTTAATTAAATCCTGTTGACAATACAAGAAGAAAGTGTATCTGTGATCGTCTGCGGAGAAAATAAAGAACAACAATTAGATGAGGAATTTTTGTCGTAAAGTTATTCATCAGTAGAAAAATTAAATTGCAACGAAACGAGCAATTTAATATATTTCTTAGATTAAAGTCAATAGTTATTGCGATCAATGGTTACTTATTATTCTTCAAGACTTTATGGATCTTACCCTACCACTGACAACGGGGCAGCTGATTCACTAGGGTTGTTAGCCTATTGGTCATGAAGCCCCGGTGAGACAATCAATTTAATTATTTTCAGAATGTCTTGGATTACAGGTACCAGGACTATCTTTGGTGAAGAGGCAAATAAACTAATGTGTTTCAATACTTTTCAAAGTTATGGGAAGTTATGGGAAGCATACCAAGTACTGGAGAAGAGAATGGCTTAACGATAAATAAAGGGTTGCGGTTGCAGGAGAAGAAAATATTTAGTTTCCACTTTTACTTAGCTGTCTTTGACAGGCGTGATCACTGTAAATATCAGGGCACAGTTTGACTAAATGGGTTCTTTTAAGGAATGATTTTTAAACAAGTTTTATCTCGCAAGACGTAAAAAGAAGGAAGATTATATATTTTGGAAAATTAATGTTATCTATAATTCTCAAATTAAGAGGGCATGGAAGTAATTAATTTATGTCTTTCGTTCTCAAAGGGTCATATACGCCCCAGGCATAACTTCTCTTATTTCAGTGGATTAAATAAGTTCCATGTTATATTTCTATTTTACATAATTATATTACATTGCTATTTCGACTAATTTTATTGTCATTATTGCATCTTATTACCTATACTTTCGCTGTTATGTGTGCGTAGTTCTCCAATTATTGCACTTTAGAAGAAAAAGAAGATTACTCCTCATATTTTTGTAAATATTTTTATTTATTACTACGACCGTTTTGTCAACTGAAATGAACAAAAAATATTATTGTAACAAATAAAAATACTTAGTATTACTAATAATTACTATTAATAATAAATAAATTACTAATAAGAATAAATAAAAAAGCTATTATGAACCTATGGGACACGTGTGTTCTAGTGGATCTTGGGAACTCGTTATACAAACACATATACAGATCACGGTGGTATTTTTCAGCATGAGCAAGAGAAAGACTGAAATTGAGGTTTTAAATCTCAGTTTCGGAGATGTGGAATCACTTGCAGATGAATCAGTCGATTTTTGGACTCTTCGGTAGGTGGAACCAACAAATTGAAATCTTTTTCAAATAAAATATGAAATAATGGTTATTTTCATAATTTCTTAGTATGTATATATTTTGGGAAGATAATTCAAACAAAGTCTATCTTTACACTTTGGACGCCATGTTGTTTAAATATTGTCTTTTTCTCGTCTTTGGAAGAACAAATCCCGTTGTTTTTGTATTGCATATAAGAGCAAGATCATTGTTTTTTCATGAAAGTTTTAGGTCATCAAGCTAGATGAATAATTCACATGCATATTTTAATCATCGGGCACTTCATCTTCACTTACATCACACTCGTTATCATTTTTGAGCAATGAACTAAAATTCTCTTCTCCTGTTACTTTACTGGCCTAAAAATCATCTGCATCACTTCATGATTTTCAAGCATCCTGACAAAATAGTATTTCAACAACAAAGTGTGATGTGTCACCAAACACTGATCGCGAAGAAATGGATCGAAAAAGAGTATAATGGCTCTAAAAAATCATAATTAGCTTCTGAAGTTCCTTAATACGAGTAATATGAAGATTTGTGGGACACACTGAAAACATATTTGTTATCCATCCTACAATCTATACCTCACAGAATTCTTGGACTGTTTTCCTTGAGAAGGTTTTAAAGGATATCAGAATTTTCTGATGCAGGATATGGAAAACGAAATATTGCAAACGCTGTAATCACTGATTTTCCATTTGCTAGATGAACGTGATAACCACTTACACTATGACAGCAAATACTGGAGAAACTTTGTAATTCCTTTATATTCTCCCCCACTTAAGGGGCGAGAGGGGGAGAGAAACACGCAAGACACTCTCTTACAGATCCAGATGACACTTTAATTTCAGCGCTACTCTAGAGACCATTAATCTTTTTAACCCCTTCCCCCCAGAAAAAAAAAAAAAAAAAAAAAAAAAAAAAAAAAAAAAAAAAAAAAAACCTCAATTTTGTCTTCACTGGGATTTGAACCATACATCTTTCATTTCTGGCTGGATGTGCAAACTACGCACACCAGGAAACAGCATAAAGGGTAATAAAATAAAAGTTTATAAAGTACAATAAGGTAAGATATTTTCTCCCTTCTTTCCGCATGCCTTCGTGGTGTAATTATAAGCATACTCGAAACGTATTCGAGAAGTCCAGCGTTCGAGTCCCGGCCAGAGCAATGCACATTTTTCACGTCTCCAGCATCAAAAACCTTGATCAATCCACAATGGCGCTAGAACTAAAAAGGTGGTGGACGATACTTCGTCTCCACTAAGATTTGGGGTACCCTTATCCCCAGTCGCCTTTTAAAAGAGGGAGTATATAAGGTATTTTCTTCCTCCTTTCGCATGCCTTCGTGGAATAACTGAAAACACATTTGATGAGTTTTCAAGTTGTCGAAGGTTCGAGTGAGTCCCGGCTAGGGCACTGCACATTTTTCACTTCTCCTGCTTTAAAATAATCTAATGATTCTAGAAGTTATTATAGGAAGCTAAGCTGTTCCATGACTCCTTATCCGCCTATGTATTATGAATTAAAAAAATTACTTACACTTTAAAACCCATAAGATGTTCGAATAGGTGACTGTTGCAAGAATTGGGATAACTTATTTATTTTAAAAGCAATTACTACCAACATTTTACAGCCGACTACATAATATAGCTGCTTTCTGAAATAGTAATCAGAAAGTTTGTGTTGCCACAATTGTTTTTTTTTTTTTTTTTTTTTTTTTTTTTTTTTTTTTTTTTTTTTTTTTTTTTTTTTTTTTTTTTTTTTTGTTTTTTTTTTTTTTTTTTTTTTTTTTTTTTTTTTTTTTTTTTTTTTTGTTTTTTTTTTTTTTTAATCTTTTTTTTTTTTTTTTTTTTCTTTTTTTTTTTTTGTGACAACATTTTTCGTCATATTTCCAACTTGCACGCACAGTTTAAAACATTCTGTTTCATAATTTAATTCCATATTTAATATATAGCTTTTAAACATTTGGAAACTACTGTGAACCTGAAATTCTAAAAATTTCATGTTAAATTTTTATTTTATTTTGAGTTAAATTTATAAAATGTATTTTATTAACAAAATTTTTAATTTTTTCGTTGATAAAATTTTTAATATTAAAATATTCATCAGATTGTTAGTTCAGTTAGAAAATAGTGCCCATATAAAGAATTCCATCCAATTTCAAGTATGTGCCATTAGCCATTTTTAAAATATCATGCGCGCAAGATGGAAACATGGCAAAATATTTTGTCACAAAGAGGATTAAATTACAAAAATATTTGTGGCAACACAAACTTTCTGGTTACTATTTTCCAAAGCAGCTATATTATGTAGTCAGCTGTAAAAAGTTGGAAGTAATTGCCTTTAAAATAAATAAAATATCACAATTCTTGCAACAGTCACATATTCGAAGATCATAAGGGGTTTAAGGTGTACGAGTCCCCTTAAAAGTGGTGGATTATATGATTCAGTTTGCTGCATACGTATCGATGAAAGAATGCAACATTTATACTCGACATTCATGCATTTAGATTATAATTTTTTATGCACAAAGTTTTTGCTTATGTATTGAAAGATTTTGAGTGCTTCATTATTTTATCAAGTTTTTTATTTCATTTTATGAAGATTATGCGTATGAGGTGAATTTTAATACCGCTGATAGATGATAAGATCAGAAATTATGACATGAAAGAAAACTTCCGACTGGGACACAAATTTTTAAAACAATAATTATAAAATTCAAATTAAAACAAAATAATTATCATTACTGCTTGAATTTTAATGTATTTTCATAAATTAGTGGAAGATGTCTTTTGACGTCTAATCTACTACATCTAAAAAGTGTTCACTTAATTAGTAGCTTAACATGTCTGTGAAACAAATGAAGATTAACGTATTTCTTCACAGATAATACAACACTACTTTCAGTTAGCATTCACTTCATACAGATTTTCATTCCTTTGATTTGGACTGGCATTACACGTTTAGAAACCAACCGCGGTCGCACTTTATCTTTGAATAAACATATTTGTAAACCAAAGAATGAAGGAAACCATTGGAAATGCAATACAATAAAACTGAAATTACCTGCCAATCTTAGTACTACTATCTTGATGGATCGCGATGTCAGTCATGATGTCAAACCCCGGTAATTAATAGTGATGTCAGTCTCGATGCTACCATCTTGACAGATAATAGAAATCCCTTACACTGCCACCACCACTATACACTGTTATTTTAAAAAAGTTACTTCAAGGTCATATGAACCCTCTTCTTATTTGTGATCGTAACAGGGGCGTAGCTAGAGGGGAGAAAGGGGGCATCTGTCCCCGGGCGCAGAATCCAAGGGGCGCCAAACTGATGTTACGACATTTTAGAATTAAATGTTTTCCATTCTTGGCAAGCAGTAAGGGGTGCGAAATTTTCAGTTGTCCCTGGGCGCTGAAATCCCTAGCTACGACTCTGGATCGTAATGTTTATCGCCAATCACCGCACAGAAGGGATTAGAGGATTTTTCTTAGAAAATTAGAAGATTCGACAATCTTCGTCAGCAGTCGCTAAAGGTAGTCGAGTTTCCATTGTATATTGTTTGCAAAATCTACAATTTAAGACAGTGAAAATAACAAAGAACTTTTAACGAATCCAGGCTGTGTAAATTGCTTTGACCTTCTGCTTGTACATATAAATACATGGTAAAAATGAACGCGCTACAAGAACGATTCGTAATGATTTTTAAATGGATATATTCTAGAATAACGAGTATCACTTAATTAACATTGAATTTCGTTTGTATCTTCATCCCACGAATCGCTGAGTAACGCTCATATTTGTATTCATAGACAAAATGACAATTGTAACTCATCCCGAATAATTGTTCCTAGTTTTACCTTAATCTTATGAATGAGCTTGCTCAGAAATGTGAAAATATGTCATTTAAATATAAACACTGGGTTTTCGTGGCAGAAAGTATATTTTATGCTCTTTCTGCTAATTCCGTTATCCCCTCTGTGCACTGAAGACGACTAATATCACGATCATAAGGTTGTAAGGATCTTATTTTGCACTAATCAAATATTTTTATTTTAGAAATTTTCCTTTCCCTTCTGATTTCAATTTCTTACCAAAATTCAAATTTAAATGACGTATATGCTAAATCTCAATGAGTTCGGAAATACTATTTAACACGTTGAGCCCGGCGTCGGTTCCTGTGGACCGGCAGTGAACTTCCCGTGCGGCCGGCGTCGGTTGCTGGGGACCGGCAGTGAACTTTCCGTGTGGCCAGCGTCGGTTTCTGGGGGTCAGCACTGGAATTTTCGTTTGGCTGGCGGCGGTTCGCGGGACCGACTGTATTAAAGCTAAAAAATAAATGTAGTCTCAATGAAATGTGAATGAAATGATAGCTTTACACATATTACATTACGTAAATTTTTGGTAACATTTTGATACCAATCTGGATTAAGCCGATTTTGTTACCAGGATAACCGGCTTAACCGAAACCAGCCGGCAGTTGTTTACCGGCTGAACGGAAAGGACAGCAAATTCGTCGCCGGGTTCAACGTGTTAAGTAGCAGAACTGAAAAGTTGGTAGAAGAGGAGTTTGTTACGTGTAGAGCGGGTTACGTCGAGAACGAGTTATGCCATGAGCGAGATTTATGCCGCGTGTTTGCAAGTAGTTCTGTAGCTGAATATTTCTGTTAGCCACTTGTTTTAGATTATATTGATATTGAACTAGATCTGATTTAGATTAAAGTAGGAGCTAGGCATGCAGTTAAAATTTGCTTCATTCTGATTGTACATATTATTTTCTGTTTAAGTTATTCAGCCACAAGTGGTGGTTAGTTTATGAGCATGTTTTGTTCAGTTTATTTAAAATTAAAAAAAAATTGTTATTACCTTCGTAGGCAGCCATCTATTTTTCAAGACATAGCTAGAATTCGCTGTCACGTCTTCAGTAAGATCTACATTTTATACAAAGAACAAGATTATACAAGGTGAGGGTTCATACGACCTTCAAGTTTCACTTGTAAAGTAGCAGAGTATAGTGGTGGTGGTGATAGCGTAAGAATTCTCTGTTATCTATCATAATGACAGTTCTGAGATTCGATGGTTAATTGAAGTTCCACTGTATTACATTTCCACTGATTTTCTTTATTATGTTTATGTACTAGCACATGTGTTTAGAAGTACACGATATAAAGTAGAATACTTCTAAATAAAAATTGTCTAATGCAGGGGTTCTCAACCGGTGGTACGCGTACCACTGATGGTCCGCGAAAGGAAAACAGGTGGTACGCAAAGAAGCAAAGTGTTAAGAGTTAAGCAAAGTGTTTTTAACTATTAAATTCAAAAATTAAAACCCCCAACATACTGATTGAGTTTTTTCTCTAGCACTCGAACTTTGTTCAAGAGTGGTGGTGATAGTAGTCTTTTGTAATGGTGGTACTAAAGATTTCCAATTTTTGTTTAGAGGATACGCGTAAGTCAAAAGGTTGAGAAGCGCTGGTCTAATGCATTTTTCGACTCGTTTTGTCAGCAATTTCGTATTAATTTTGGAAATAATCAAAGACAGAAAAACCTGAAAGTTTCAATGTCTTTACTTATCCCATTATTAATTCCACAATATAGCATTTTTATTTAAAGAAAACGGTTTTTAAACATTCAACTTTCTAGGTCTTTTTAAGGGAAGAAAAACTTACGATGTGGTATGGTGGGTAAGTAATAACTTGCACCCACAGTTCCAGCTTGTCCGTAGTAACCGTTAGCCATTATTCTTGCAGGAATGTTGTGAATAAGCCAGTGTGCAAATGTCGGATTTAGCCAGGAATCGGGATCTGCAATAAATGAAGAAACATAAGAGAATTTACATTTTCTAGTTACTGTATTGAGATAAATGTTTGGCATTTTCAATATGATCATCTGTACTGTTTTCGTTTTGATTGTAATCCAGAATAAGAGATTTGGCTTCTAAACTGGTAGATAGCTCGAAGGTTATATAAGTAACTACACAATACGGGAGAGAGTATTCGTTATGAACAAATTGTAAAGCCGTGTAAAAATTGAGGTTATTGCATTTCAGAGAAAGATATTTTTAGTGCAAATGGGCTTTGTCCTTGAAGGAATATTGTTTTCGTTTTGCTTTTTTGCGTCGGAATCTTATAAATGGCGTATCACTTTTCAAATCGTTGCCACCAAATACTATCGGCCTGTATTATATTTGAAGAAATTAAATAAGGGAGAATCTGCACAAATGTATGTATGTTTCTCGCATTGTGATAACCTAGAGCCATCCAATTTTGAATGACATATTCCTACTGCGAATATGGTCATCTGAAAGCCCAAATTCGAAATTTGTTTTATTATCGATTTCATATTTTTTAAAACTTTAACGAATTTTTGATTAACAAACTCAACGATTTAAAAGCAAGAAACAGCATCACTCTACTGGGGGGGGGGCTTTTTATCTCTAGCACACGGAACTGTGTATCGGAAATTCTAAAGATATGCTCATTTTAAAATTATTTTACTACATTGCTGTTGAACTCAATTTTATGGTTTACGTGCAAAGAACATGATATTTAATAAATAAAGGTAATACACAAAACGTTAAAAAATGCTCCTTTGGGCGTAATTTAAAATCTGAAACATTTCAGATTTTTTTGTTTAGTCTTGGTTGCATTTGTTAATATATTAAACTTAAAAGGCGTCTAGCTGAAAATATAAATAAAACAAATGTCCGTAAAACCACATCACGAGACTGCTCAAATGCGAATAAATACAAAAAATGTCTCTGATCCTGACAGAAAATCCACCGATTCAAAGATCCATTGCATCGGAACTAGGAATCTCTTATGGTCCTATGATTAAAATCAATCATAAAGATTTAAAGTTAAAAAAGATATTTAAATCTTTTTTTTTTTTTACCAAATTATAGAGGAAAGAAAAACGAATTGTATAAAATTATATGAAAACAGCTAGTTGCTGATAAATGAAAATTTGTGGTAACAATCGATGAGGCATGTGTATATTTACGTGACTGTAAAATAAAAAAAAGTCAGTTTTCTGTTGTTCAAACTATCAGTATAAAATGGCCTGGTCAATGTACAGAAAAGTTCCCAAACGAATTCGTGATAGTTGCAGCTCTTTGTTAAATGGTAATTAAAAACTAAAAAAATCTAATTTTTATGTGGTAGAAGTTTTACTTTTACGCGCTCCAAAAAGATTTATCTTAAAATATTATTTAGGTATGAACTCACCAAATGCAGGTTAGGTATTACATATTATAATTAACTGAAACGATTATTATTTTTTTTCAATGACGGACACTTGCCTATAACGGCTAAGGCCAGAAGTAGTGGCCATTTTATTGCGGAGGGCACCTAATAGGCGGTCACCGAGCCCTTAGGTATCGCAGTCAGGCTTTCCTAACTACTATACCGTTTGGGCGGCACGGAGATGATTATCTTCGTTTTTGTTCAGTAATTAATTTGGGCAGTTTAGAATTTAATGATTTTACGCTGACGAGATTACACAGATTTGATTTTTATGACAGTTTGATTTTATAATTTTATTGTAAATGCAATGTAAGCTCATTTAAAAAACTCTGTTATTTTATTTTTGCCCGAGTTATATTTTTATTGTACGGTATGTTTCAGATAATTTATTTGATATCTAGCGATAATTATAGTACATCCGTTTATTTACCGACGTATGGAAGATTTTTTTATTATTTTAATAATGGATCACGAGCGATTAATTCAGTTTTGATTTAGCTGCTCAGTTTTAAAAAAATACTCTTAAATCGAAGCTCACATATGAAATTTCCTAACAAGTACTAAATAAGACTGGCCTTGAACAACAATTCTGATAATGTAATTGTGATCGCAACCAGTATTAAATAAGTAAGAGTAATTCGATATTACAGATGATTATCGAATTACTCTAATACTGTAAAACTATGATGTTTAAACTAAACATAAAAATAAATGTGTAAAACTAAAAGAAACTTGAATGTAATGTACTTAAATGTTAAAGTACTTAATGTTAAAGTACTTAATGTTAAAGTACTTAAATGTGTAAAACTAAAAGAAACATTTTACCGAATAAAAGTAAAGTAACATATGGACATTCTCCTTGGACATCAAATGTAACGACTGGCGGAGAAAGTGCAGATTCCAAAGCGATTTTATTACCGCATTCCACTTTTTCATGCTTGTCAAAAACTACCTGCAAAACCGAAACAGCAATGTTTCACATATTTTAATGCTAAAATTATTAAATAAATCGAAATAATGTTTTACATATATCAAGTTTCGTATTATCAAAATTTAATCAAAACCTTATTATTGCAGATGGTGTTTGAGGTCACAGCTCTAGGATAAAGTTTTTCAATCTCAACGCTATAGCCTACTAGTGGTATCAGAGGTGATCTAGGAGACATAATTTTCCTAATTTGTTTATTTTATGTTAAAAATAAGTTAATTTAGTGGCTAATTCAACATATTAATCCAAAAATTTAATATTTAGCTGCTAGTATATTTGAACTACGAAATGTAAGCATCAGAAATTTCTTACAGGTATAAAATAAGCACGACAAATTTGACTTTTTTCCTTTGCGTCAATATTATTAGTTATTGATGCTTGTTTTGATAAATATTTAGCACGTGAAGTGTGAAATTTTGTTAAAATTTAGTTAGTTTGTAGAGACATTAGGCATTTTGGAAGCAGTAGTGATTATTATTTATTATTATTCCGTCTGCTTCACCTCTCAGTGGGCACTACAGGTCAGTCATGTTATTCTGTTTCGTTGCACCGGCAACCTTTTTTGGTTGTTTATCTTTTCAACCTTATTATTGAAAAACAGATATAACATTAGTTATTACTTTTGAAAAATGAGCAACGCCTTCGCCGGAACTCAAACCACGAACTTCTCGAAAACTCGTCGAGCGTGCTGACCACTACACTACGAAGGCATGCTAATAAAGCGGGAGAAATATCTTGCAAGTTATCTGAAATTTAGTTTGAGATTTTTTTAAGAAAAACCTGACCGTCAACTGCTTTCAGATCTTACATACGGCCAGCCACCTGCTTTCAGGTCGCGCATGCGGCCCGCATGCATATGGAGTTTGAGATCACAGCTCTAGGATAAAGTTTCTCAATCTCAACGCTATGTCTACTAGTGGTATCAGAAGTGATCTAGGAGACATTGTTGATCTGGAGTTCAGTAAGAATATGTTTAGTAGTAAATCGGGTAATAACATGCTTAAATATTTTTCAACTAACATTTAGAAATTGAATGTATTATATAATCATTACAGTCTCAAATTTTTGCAAAAATTATACATCAAATCATCACTTTTCATACATGTTGGTGCAAATTATGTGAATGTAAGATTCATTATTTATACGAAAAAAGCATTCAAACTATCAATCTAAAATACTAAAAGCATGACCATGAGTTTCAAATTTATGTTCGTGTGTGATGTCCACTACGCAAGTATGACACTGTTTCGATATTTGCTAATGCCTGTGCTGAGGCAGGAACCTGTGGATGTTTTGTTAAATAATTATAATTATAATGTTATTAATTATTATAATGTTAATTTATTAATTTAAGTAAGTAATTTATATTTCCTTAGTAATTAATTTATATTTCCGAATTGCATGAAAATGCTTTAATTAACGATACGATGCAGTGTACCAGTGTAACAAACGTTTGAAAATTTGAATACTGAATTAATCAATGTGTGCAGATCACATTTAGAGCAAACCTAAAAATCATTTTTGAAAGGATGGGGTACTTCGAAGAGGATGCAGAGCAGAAAAACTTAAGAATGCGGAATTAAAAGAATTAAAAGAGGTTTCGGAAACTGTGCTCTAAAATATTAAAAAAAAAAATCATCATCCCCTATAGAGAGTTATGGGTACAGACGTAAAAAAAATGTTTTAGCTCCAAGAAGTCTTTTTTTTTTTTTTTTTTTGATAAAATTTTATCTTTACCCATTATATAAAGTGGCTTTCAATAAGAATGACATGATTTTAAAATGAAATAAAATTGATTTTATTTCAAATACAATCAAATATTTTAGATTATTTCGAAATACAATTTGTGGCATCATATTTTGAATAAAACATCATTTATGTGACCAGCTCAACTTAGTGGACACAAACGAATTCGATGAATGCAGTTTTCGATGACAATATGCAATATTTTGGGTCCAGTGACGCGAATGCAGTTGTTGAGTATCTTATGTTAATTGATCAGTTACTATGATTTCGGTCTGTACTATAATTTCTGCTTTTCGTACTTCTCACCAGAATGCAAATTATTTATATGAGTATTTAACCTGATGTTTTTGGATCTAGAGAAAGTTTCTGGCATTTCGCATTACGTGGTTAGTATCACGCCCTAGTCATCTCTAACAGTTGTAATTACTCGGCTCTGAGGTCTTCTGCTGGTACTTTACATACTCTCTGATACTTTAAATCTAACACCCTGGTAATTTTATTGAGCCAGCTTCTAACTTAGTAATTAATTGTGTAGTCATAGATTGCTGCTCAGCGTTTCAATTTATTGACTGTTCTTAGTTTAATTTGCATGAATGAGTTGAATGAGTTCTTTGGATCTCTGCATTGTTCCTATTCACGGAAACGTTTGGCCTGACTTCAATTGCCGGTTTGGCATCGCCTTATTGATCGAGTAAAGGACGAAACACCTTCGTATTTATTTCTTAATTATTGTTCATTGAACGGGAGTTGGTTTGTTCTCCTTGAAAAGTCAACTAATTTCCGATCAATGACAGTGATTACTTGCCTTTAATTTAATTCTTGCTTTTAATTTATTCCCTTTACAATTCTTATTCATAATTTTATTCCAGTCCCCGTTAAACATTTTTAACAATTTACATTCAAGTTACTTAAAAACATCTTTCGAAATAGAACTTACTAAGTGTGGATTCATTATAATTAATCTTAGGAGATAATATAATTCTACTATAATTATTCTTAGGAGATAATATAATCAATATTATTTAGTAAATAAATTATTATTAACTTACTTTGCAGCAATTCCGCAAAATAGTAGAATAGATTTAGCTTAATTTTGCACTAAATGAATTTAAGATCATACAACATTATATATATATATATCTATATATATATATATATATATATAATATATATATATATATAATATATATATATACCATATATATATATATATAATTTATTTACTAAAATATTGATTGTATTATCTCCTAAGATTAATTATAGTAGTATGATCTGAATAGAGTAAATCTATACTTAGCAAGTTATATTTCGAAAGATGTTTTTAAATAACTTGAACGGAAATTGTTAAAAATGTTTAACGGGGACTGTAATTAAATCAGGAATAACAATTGTAAAAGGAATAAATTAAAAGCAAGAATTAAATTAAATGCAAGTAATCACTGTCATTGATCGGAAATTAGTTGACTTTTCAAGGGGAACAAACCAACTCCCGTTCAATAAACAATAATTAAGAAATAAATACGAAGGTGTTTCGTCCTTTACTTGAGCAATAAAGATGATGCCAAACCGGCAATTCAAGTCAGGCCAAACATTTCCTTGAATAGAAGGGATTAAGAACCAATGTAGAGATCCAAAGAACTCATTCCGATTAAGTATTTTAGCTAATTCAATTTTGAGTGAAAAGCAATTTCTGCAGTAAATGTGATATCGCTCGAGTAAGCATTCCCCGACACCCTCGTGTTTATGCATTTGAGTTCGATATTATTTGTAAAAATTAAACATTGGAAATTGTCATTATGAAATATAATTCATAGTTTAAATAAACAGTAGAAAATTACAAAATATAAGAAAATAATGCAATCTTTGTAAAAACAAATAAAAGATAAAAATGTATATAATAAGAAAAGGGAATGTACATTAAGATATAAAGGCCAGAAAAAGCATTAATTAACTTACGTTCTTCTAGTTGGGAGTGGGCAAAGTGTTTTCTTCGCGTCTGACTCAGAAGGGTTGTTTTCAGAAAATTCTTTAGCGGCAGCTGGGGCTTTGAATTATATCAGTCGGTAAGACTTGTGTGAAGTAATTTATGGTGAGGGAAGGACTAGGAATTTTTGAGGGACGTATGCTGTGGAGCTCTTATTTGTTACTACTATAATTAATCTTAGGAGATAATATAATCAATATTATTTAGTGAATAAATTATTATTAACTTACTTTGCAGCAATTGCGCAAGTAGTAGTGTTGGTTGTGCATTAGCACTGAAGGCGTAATGAGTACATTTCCTCAAGCACAGAATTAAAGAATCATAAGTCAAAAGATTAACTACGAAATCTTTATTTTAATAAAATAGGATAATTCTACTTAACTTAAGCATAACAATAAAGTAATAATCTTCACAGACATTAAAATTGAAGTATTCAAAAGAATAACTTACAGAGAATCATCATCAGTACTAAATATCACCAGGCTTACCTATATTATGCAATAAGAAAAATAAACAGGAATATACTTTGCCATCGTACCTGAAAGAGAAGAAAATACTACTGGATTAGACCTTTGGCCAGGTACAAGTAGCTAGGGTGAAAATCAAATATTCTGCATTGCACACGAGCTTTACTTTCTCTCGCCAATATATACCTTGGCGCACGTTCGTTTCGTATGCCTTTCGAGTTTCATTATGCAAAATACCTAAATTTATGCTAACAAGTAGCATAACTTAATTTCGCACTAAATGAATTTAAGATCATACAACATTATATATATATATATGTAAGAAATAAAATATATGAATCAAAATTATAGATTAAACTATAATTAAACATTAATTCTTCCTCTCTATTCTAAAATCGTGGTAAACTTGTCTGCATTGCGTCATTTCGGGTTAGATCGTGCGATCTTGTGTGGCGCAGCTTGGATGCCGGTATGTCTCTTGGGAAACGGAAACGGTCGCCAGGTTGTAAACCAGGGCTTTTCTCTTTCGCGTGCTTCCGTCTTTGCATGGCTGCGCACTTCAGCTTTTGCTCTCTGCTGTGCTGTGGATGTGGTTGCGCTGGCTTGCTTTCTGTCTCAGCGGTGTCAGGGGTGTAGGGTCTTCTGTGGGGGGGCGCGGACTGGGGTGCCAAAGTGGATTGTGGCCACGGGTATCGGTTGCGAATAAAAGGATGGAATTAAAACTGCCTCGGACTGCCAAGTTTTCTTTAGATATTACCAGGTTAGCATTACTGGTATGCTACGCAATCAAGGTCTTCTTCAGTATGGGTCCAGTCGCGCATCGGCACTGCTCCGGCTTTTTCCTTGTGATTATATTATGACATATATATATATATATATATATGTAAGATTATTAAAAATATCTGAATCAAAATTATAGATTAAACTAAAACATTAATTCTTCCTCTCTATTCTAAAATCGTAATAACTTCTTTCTTTATTTACATTATGATAATCATCAGATCTCTTTTGAGCTATTTTTCTGGCTTCTTCTATTGACGGATACAATTCTTGATTTTGAATTAAGGAATCATAAGGTAATTTTCCATACATTAAATATGATGGAAGGAATTTTGTTACAGAATGAGGGGTATTATTATACTCTTCAGTTACTTGGGGTGATAATTTTGTCCATGCTATATTACCGTGATAAGAAATTATTTTATATTTTAATCTAGTTAAAATAGTTTGAGGGAACACGTTCAAATTTTACCATTAGTTTGGGGTCTATTTGCAGTAGTTAGCAATGTTTTACATTATGATTCCTTAAAAAGTGCTTAAATTTTGAAGATGTAAAAGCAGCCGTTCCTATCACTTAAAATCTTTTTAGGGACCTGAATTTGGGAAAATTTGTTTTAAGCATAAGTATCTGTTAGGAGAACTTATGGACTCAGCATTTATATGAATGGTTATGTAACAGAGTAGCTTCTAGAAAAAGGTAGAAAACTTATGACGCAGCATTTATATGATGAGGAGGTTATGTAATAGGCGTGAATGTTCTAGCAGGTACTGGGGTTAGGGGACGATCCTGAATTGCAGAAAAATTAATTAAAGGTTGCTGGTTCGCAAAGAGCAAAGCCATCGTATTTTTTTTTTTTACATCTTCCCCCCCCCCCCGTCAAAAAGAGAGGCCGGGGTGAGAAAAGCATTAGTACAGGAGTGAAGCAAAAGGATGAGAAAAGACATGAAAACATCCAGAACATAGCGTACAAGCTTTAACTATGGCCTATCATAGTTTCATGACTTTCTCATATAAAATTTTGACTTTATAGCATATGAAATTTTGAACATTAAAACAATGAGTTATAAATAATATACAATATTGACTAATTTTAAGACTATAACATAATAAATACGGAATACTGATAAATAAATAAGTTATAATTACAAAAGTCCTCAATTTTGTTAAAAATGTCCTTTTTTTTTTTTTTTTTTTTTTTTTGAAAGTCCTTTTCATAAAAAGAGTTAGAATAGAATGAAAATATCTGGTAAAATCTCTAAATGCCAGATAGTCCCAAGTGAGATGTTTCTGTTCCATAGTTCCACAATATGATGGCATTTTTTCCTCTCATTCGTAAAGATTAACATGATTTAAAAACTTCAATTACAAAACATTATGATATAATACCTTCAAGAAAACAATTCAATATAAATAATACATATGATACAATTAGAGACATTAACACTTTGACTTTCAAAATTTATGGCATGTCCTCTCCAACAGATCAGCCTGAGTAGCTTGCTGATGGTTGGGGGGTGCTAGGTACAAAATATCAAAAAAACCTCCGTTGCCTAATAGAAGGTAACTGGTTTTTGGCATTGTACATTGTACCTCAAAGTGGTTGTTTGTAAAAATAAAAGATCATATAAAATCAAAATTATAAGACGGATAACTTGTATAATCAAGTTAAAGTTCTTTTTTATAATGTTGTAAATTAGAAAACAAATATTATCCTACAATTAGAAGAAAATTTTTGCTACAAAATAATTCAAATTATGTGAAAGATATAAAAGGTCAAGATCGGGAGAATAATTGTCATAGTCGGGAAAATAACTTGTCATAGTTAGGGTTTAAGTCTATATCAGGTATTAAAGGTCATAATCAGGAAAATGTTTAAAAGAGAATTTAAAAAAAAAAATAATTTAATTTTGAACAGAGATAGGAATTCTACTATTTCGGACAGTTAACTTAACTCACTTGTGGATTTAAAGGTCGTAATCTAGTTGAATGAACAATTTCTGATTTCTTTTTAGTTAAAGGATTAGGTTTATCTATTTCATAAGTAACTTCAGAATATTGTTTTTAAAATTTTATAAGGTCCTGAGAATGGAGGAGATAATTTACGTGTATTAGGGTAATGAAATTCTTCATACATTACTAAATCACCAATTTTAAAATTACTAGGTTTAAAATGAATATCATATCTTTCTTAAGTAAATTAGTTAATGGGGCTCTAATTTTAGCATAATTTTATTTAATTGTCATAATAAGAGCAAAGGGAAAAAAACGGAACACTGTAGATGCGTGCTTAGATCCATATTGAAGAAGAATTTAGATTGCGTAGTATTTAAAGAACTTGGCAGTCGAGGCAGCTTTAATTCCTTTTTTATTTCCAATTGATATTTGTGGCCACAATCACTTGGCACTCTAGTCGTGCCTTTCCACAGAAGATTTACATTTTTGATATTGTTGAGATAGAAGCAAGCCAGCGAAATTACATCTTAGCACAGCAGAGAGCAAAAGCTGAAAGTGTAGTTATGCAAGATGGAAAGCACGCGAAGAGAAAAGTTTTGGTTTACAAGGACAGTTTCAGTTCCCAATGGTAACGTCATCAGAGCTGCGCCGATCATAGAGTGATCTAGAAATGACGCAATGCAAAGAAGTTATTACGATTTTAGAATAGAGAGGAAGAATTAATGTTTATAGTTTAATCTATAATTTTGATTCATATATTTTTATCTTACATATATATATACAGAAAGAGAGAAGATTGTCAAAAATTGTCCTAGTTTAATCATGTGATTTCGTAGCTATCCACAAAACAAGTTTTGCAGATATTCCTGTAAATCATATTTTCTCAATTTTTCTTTTTTGGGGGGGCTTCCCGCCTCTTTCCGAGGTTCCTGAGAGTTTGTTTGTGTCTTCTGCTCTTGTAAAAATGAACTGTCAAACATATATTGAATGTATTCTGTAGGCAGTCATTGAAAGTGCTTAAAATTTTTGGCTACTTGTTGCATTTGCATTTCAGCAAATTATTAACTAAAATTCATCTCGCAACACGGAAACACAGTGGTAACCGTTAAAGAATTATTAAACCATTTGTAACAATGAATCAAAAAGAAGAATCACATATTTTTGCCATGGCATGTGCATTGGCATAAAAGTGAAAGAACATGCTACTTAAGCGCGCAAGTATGAACTTATAGGCATATTTTAAAGTAATAGGCTTATGATCTTTAACTTTGTTCCTTTAGGAAACTGAATCTACGTGAAACCTGAAATAACAGGTGTGAAAGATCGACTGAAATAATTTGGTACTATTCTTGTGATGCGTGAATGTAACATTTGTATAATCAAAGGGATGAAAATGCTTGTTTCAGCAACCAAAGTTTCGGCAACCAAAGTATTCAGCAACCAAATTTTCTCAACGTATTTTTATATCCCACTTACTTTACTGCCCCGCAGAGGAATAACGTCTTCCCTAGATCATCTCTGCTTTAGTAGTGGGCGGTAATGCCAACTTTGTAAAACTATGATGTGAATAAACATCTCACCTGGAGGTCAGTTGAAGCAACTTTCTTTGCTAAATCTGGAATAATAGCCATCTTCTTGAGCTCCGTCTCACATTTTGGACTTCCAAGCGCTCCAGATAAAAAAATTAATCCGAAGAAGCAGTTTCCTACTATGAAATGCATTTTAGATATTTTGCGAAATCTCGATTGTCTCATGGGAATGGATTAACGAGATTCTTTATATAGGAATACTTGAATATTAAGAATGTATTTATTTATTTACTCACATTGATATGAGACAGAAAATAAGACGTACTAGAAAGTTCATAAGTAAAGAAGATTTAAAAAAATATTGTAACAATGAAAGAAGCAGCAGATGGCTTACCAAGTAGCAGCTGGTTTTTACAATAACAGTACACTACTGGAATTCAAATTTTGTTATATTGTTTACTTTTTGCAGTTATGTCTACACAGCTGTTCATTGGTAATTTATTGATCGAATTCAGGTATTATAAACTGATTCAATGAAGTCACAAATGGGCTGCAAGTGCTGTTTAAATTTGTCAAACAAGAAGCTATTTTATAATTAATATGTGGACGTAATAACGTAAATAATACAAACAGCGTAGTATGTGGAACAAATAACCTGCAGCAATATAAACATATGAACGTAAAGGTTGGATGTAATTTATTGTTACTTTAAGTGAAAAAAGTTATATATTGGTTTTCGGTTTCTTACGTTATATTTTCAGTAGTAAATTCTGAAACTTATTGAATTCTTCTTCTTCAATGGCCAGACAGCCCAGGATGGGCCCTTGCTTTCCTCAGAATCGAATTCCAAGCTCTTCTATCCCTGGCAATAGACATCCAGTTGGTTATTTTTAATATTCTTATGTCTTTTTCCAAACAGTCGAGTCACCTAAGTTTAGGTATTCCTCTTTTTCGTGTTCTGGCCGAGAAGATGATTTTAGTTATTCGATTTTCATTCATTCTGCACAGGTGTCCTGCCCATTTAATTCTCTGAATCCTTATATATATTACTATATCTATTTCTTTAAAGGATTTATAGAGTTCAGAGTTAGTTCTTCTTCTCCAGATATTGTTACATTTTATGCCACCAAAAATACTTCTCAAAAGTTTTCTTTCAAAGACAGAAATAATACTTTTAGCTTTTCCTGTCACTGCCCAGGTATCAGCAGAGTATGTAAGAATGTGTCTGATTAAAGCTTTTGTAAATTAAAACCTTCGTTTTTCTGCTAATGAAGTTAGACTTCAAGTATTTTTTGAGAGCGAAAAAACATGGGTTAGCATCTGTGACTCTACTACGGATTTCGGGCATTAAACTTATTGAATTCTAGCCTATGCAAATTTATCTCGGTAATAATAAGATCCTCACAACACTTCAGAGCAAAACGCGAGACAAGCGTACGTAAGGTTAACTGAAAACTAGATATTTTATATTTGGTTACCTATAATGGTAGTACCTGTAATACCAATATATTGGAGTATGGAAGAGCACAGTAGGGCTGTTTGCTTAAGAAGAAAGACGCTTTTATGAAGACTTTATAAGAAAAACATACTCATATTCATATTTACGCATAGAAAACTCTCATGCAACTATTCTTCACGTCGGATATGAACCCGGCTCAAAATACCAGTGTTCAGCTGTCTTATCATTTAGTCAGTGGTAAAACCTCAGAAAATGAAGTAGGATATTATCATCTTAGTTCTCAAATTTGTATGCTTCTACAATGTGTCTGAGAATAATGATGATTTAACCTCACACTTCTTATGAAGATAAATTTTTCTATCAATTTAAATTTTTCTATTTCTGAGGAATTTTTAATAGGTTCGATTTATATTTTGAAAACAAACGTTGCTAAACAGGGTGAACTATAAAATCAACGAAGAATATATCCCGCTAATTATTGCATAGCTTCATGAGGAATATTTGATAGAAGATTATTCCAAAGCAGGGGCTCCCAACGGATTTGATACTGACCCCTAAGGGTTGATGAAGACGTAAAGGGGTTAATGCTGATCAAAAGTTCGATTAGGGATCAATAGCCCGACTAGGCTCGATAGCCGGAATGTGCACAATCTTGATCGGGATAATCAAGATCAAATAAGAAAAATAATAGATAAATTACAAAAAAATTCATTAATGAAATTTATAATTATTTCTTGATATAAAGCTAAATTATGTAGTAAGGAAGAAATAAAATATGTATAAGGAAGAAAATACACAAAAATTATTTAATATATTTTAAAAATCAATAACATTTGTAGAGTCATTAGGCTATTTTGAAGCAGGAATACGTGAAAAATGAGCAATGCCCTCGCCGGGACTCGAACCATGGACCTCTCGAATACACGCCGAGTGTGCCGAACTCTACACCACGAAAGCGTGCTAAGAAATCGGAAGAAGTATATATTCCCCCTTTTAAGGAGCTACTGAGGATTAGGGGACCCAGTCGCCTACTATGCGACATGCGACGGAGAACGTGGGCACCACACCTTTACCATATGGTTAATTGGTGTATTGCCACGTCCACCAGTGTCAATATAAATATCAAGGACTCGGACGCTAGGTGCATTAGATTTCACTTATTGCGCCTGACTGGCGTAAGATAAAATGTTCTACTGTACAAGGTTATATGCATGCAGGGGTAGGATATGGAAACAGTAAGATGATAATACATAAAACAATTATATGTGGAGATATGCTGAAATATAACATACCAACACAGATATCATAGATACATTAAACATATGTTACATAAAAATCAATAATAACTAACATACTATTATACCTACATTAATCAAACATTACCTAAATATCAAGGACTGAGGCACTAGTTGCATTAAAATTTCACTTACTACTCCACACAGGGGCGCGTTAAAATATTCTATGGTACATAGTTATTTACATGCAGGGGTAAAACATGGAAAAAGTTACTTAACAATTATTAACACCCAATATCCTAAATACATTAAACTTTTGTTACGTAAACATTAATGACTTGGATACTATGTTTACATTGGACAGACATTGCATGGATATCACAGACTCAGACGCTGTGCATTAAGCTTCACTTATTGCGCTACACAGCCACATATTAAAGTATTCTATGGTACAAGGTTATATATGTGCAGGGGTAAGTAAGGCATAGAAAACAGTTAGATAATAATGCATAAGACAATCATATGTGGAGACATGCTGAATTATAAGATACAAACACAGATATCATAGATACATTACACATACATTACATGAAAACATCTTAGATACATTACACATACATTACATACACGCTACATGAAAATTAATGTCTAAAATACTATATCTACATTAAAAAGGCGTAGCATAAATATCAAAAAATGAAGGCACTGGTTGCATTAAATCTTCACTTAACTGCACCACACAGGGGTACTTTAAAATAATCTATGTACATAGTTATTTACATGCAGGGAAGTCGCCTACTATGAAACTACCCAGTCGCCGGGCAACACTAGTTTCATTAAGTTATTCTGAAGCAGGAAGACGTGAAAAATGAGCAATGCTCTCGGCAGGACTGGAACAATGGACCTGTCGAATACGCGCCGAGTGTGCTGACCACTACACCACGAAGGTATGCTAAGAAGGCGCGAGAAATATCTTATATATTTTTTAAAAATATATAAATATTTTATGCAATAAGTGCAATACGCATTAAAATGCAAGTCAATAATTTACTACGGAAAGCAAGAAACAGGTTGACTGTTTTTGAACGAGAGGATTTAAGAATTAAGTTAAGCAATTTTATGCCAAATATTAAAAAAAATTGCATCAATAAATCGAACGCAGTTATCCCATAAACTAATATCGAACTTTTGTGCAGGTAGAATCTGTGATTTTGTTTTGTTTCTGAAAACTCTTCTATATTTGTAAAACTAAAAACGATGATAACACAAAAAATAATAAAACATAAGTGTGATAAACCACTTTTTTTTCAAAATTTGTTTCATATTCTTAGTCTAATTGCTATCTTTTAAGTTATTTATGTGCAGTTATTTGTATTAGAATTATTTGTATTATACAGTGAAACGTAAGAAGGGTCGATAAAGAAAACGGTTCTTTTTAAAGAAGTTGATGCAGGAAAAGAGTTGTAAATATCTGTCCGAAACCATAGTTTTCCTAAAGGAACATTACAGCTCATTAGTGAGTTCTGCAGAGATCTGGTGAAACATTACTGGCCCAAGGAGCAGTTAGGTGATGTTAACAAGTGGCTTGGAAAATTTGGCTACCTAACCATTCTGAAAAAAATCTTAAAATATTTACTTGACACATTACAGTCACGCAGCTTTACCGGAATTCTACTAAGTCACATCAGTCATCCCTTGATATGCATCAACTCTTCATACGTTTAGACTAATCCAAAATGTGACGAAGTCTCTTTCATTTGTAATGGACTATGCAAATTGTTAGTTATGGACTGTCAGTTTAAAATTTTAAAAGCATGTAGCAATATACACCACAGCGCATGTTGTGGCAAGAAATTGTGCATGCCAATTCCTTATTACGCTTTGGAGAGTTTTCCATATTTTCATTCTCTTTCTGTATTGCGGGGTGAGTTTTAATCAATAAATCATTGCAAAACATTGAATTTTTTATGACTGCAAGAATATCGAAGGAATTGCTGAGGAGGTCGAATTCTTCAAGAAAGGAGTGGCGAGCTCAAAACGTTTGGGAAACTATGTTTTTCGAGATTATTTAAACATCCTGTAGAAAATAATTGGTGTGAAAATCTTATTGAAGAAATTTGGTGGTTATTCTTTTATAAAAATGACCCTGGCATACGGGAGAAAATGTGCATTTCAATAGCTTTTGATACAAAACTGTATTTTTCTCACAAATAATTTTCTTTAGAATAATAAAATTTGTCCTGTTTTGAAAATGTGTAATATAATAGCACAAACGAATTAAATTCTTGCTTGTTGTTGCTTTGCTTTTTCGCACATATTTAAACATAAAAGAATTTCTCACTTATTATAAGAAAGTGTCACATCCTTCATTTCATTTACTTATGTATAAAAATATTCGTAGAATTAAGTTAGAAAAATATTTGTCCAAAGAAAAAATTCTTTTACATTCAGTTCAAAATATAAAATCTCTGTTCTTCTTTTCCACATTATTTTAACTGTTTAAAAAACAGCCACTCCTTAGATATCAATTTCACTAG